CTTCCAACCATATCTGAATACCCCATATCTCCAAACGAGATATGCAATCATCTTAGTCTAAACTTCATATGGGTGCCTGGTCACCGCAGCATTGCAGGCAATACCATCGTCGACGAACGCCATTATCCTTTCCGAGAAGGTTACGGTGAACATGCCCATTGCCACATGCAAGCTTAGTGGCTTAAAACAATTCGTCACCAGACTATCGACAACAGATGAAACTCCATCCATGTAGAATGGCTCATAGCACTCTCATAGCACTAACCATATAACATATAGACTAGTCATTTCATACAACGAATTCGGACACAAACAGATTGAAAGCGGGACGCCCCCCGAGGATTTTGCCTGATTTATTTTTTAATGATTTTGATTGTCTGTTTCATATTTTTTTAAAGGTTAATGGAAAAAATATAAAAATCCTCATTTTTGTATTGCAAAACATCGACAAGAGCTGATTTAGTTTGAAGTTTTCTCAACCACTGAAGAGCAGTCGGTTTTTTAAGTGACACGACTGCGATATGCCCTGTGACCATCTCAGTGGACTGATTTCTATAAATTCGAATACATACATATATGTAAAACATTTTACTGCTACCACTGATTTGAATTTGTAAACAAAAATAAAATGTATACTGAAATAGTAAAAAAATATATTATTACATATAATATTCATAGTTTTATCATAACCCAATAGTAAAAACGCCCATATTCTTAGGGTACCAAGTTTGAAAAGTGGCAAAAGATAAAATATTCTTGATGCGCCGAAATTAAATAAACGCACACATGCTCCCGTGTATGAGAATGCATGAACAGGCATACATACAAAGATGAATTCAAGCGCAGGGCAGCCTTCTTCAAAAAGCACTTCTCTGCAACTGAACGACTGAACTCGTGCAATGAGTGCGCGAGCATAAAAATGAGAATAAGAATGAGAGAGCAAAAAACCCGAACGCACACGAAGTGCAGGGGCCTGCTGCTGTGAGCACGGGGGGCCTTCCGCTTTCAATCTTTTTGTGTCCAAATTCGTTGTATGAAATGACCACTCTATATGTTGTATGGTAAGTGCTCAAAAGCAACCATGCTCGTAGGCTCAGAGTCAAACATAACGACTTTTTCTGCTGCTGTAAGCAGGTAGAATAGGACAAAACCATAAAACACCTCCTCCTTCTGTGCCCAGAGTCTAACAAAAAGAGACTAAAACGTCTCGGTAGTTGCACCCTCCGCAACCTTACGACCTTACCACGCATTAAATTTGCAAACTGATAATGCAACATATTAAATGGATAAAGTAGTGAATTTTTACCGAGCTTTAGGGACATACTCCTTCGGAGATTATATGGCATCACAAGGGGCCCCCGTTCCCAGCTATGCACAACCAAACCTAACCGGCTGTACTGAATGCGGATATATCATACTGATAATTTCCCTAATATAAATTAATGTACCATTTTTAATTCGAAAGAAAACAACTTGTTCTTTTTTCCAGTTCCAATCACAGGGAAATGGCTTGTATCATGGTCGCAAACGCACTTGTATTAGAATTTATGTATTACACTACAAAGTGGGTAATCAAAATTTATTTTATATCATAACGCTTATAACATTGTTTGTTAAAGCGTTAATTCGTTTGCGCATCCATTCATTCAAGTTTATTCGAAATGTTTTTTTCTCCAAAAATAGGTTTATCTTGGAGGAGAATATAAATCCTGATATGTTAGCTTTTTTAACGAGCCGGATCACTATAGCATATAGCCCCCATAGGAACAATCGGAAAAATAAATTAAAAATAATTATAAGTTTGCTGTTTTTAATTTTTTTTTAGTTCTTCGACATATAATAAAGTAAATATATTTTAGAATTACGGTATAAAACTCACAAAAATTGGACGACTATATCACATAACTCCCATAGAAACAATAAAAATATTTAAAAAAAAATTTATTTTTAATGTAACTTTTTTATTTTGTAATATCGTTTTTTAATTGCTTTTCACTTACTAATAATTTGACAATTCAGAATTACTCTTTTAATTCTATTAAAATCATAAAACGTTATCGTATAGCTGTCATAGGTACTATCGAATAATCGAGCTGCAAATCATCATAGCTTTAATGCTTTTAAACATATACGCAGGTAAATCATAAAGCGGTAGAGAATAATGAGCGAAAGGAAGGCAGTTTAAGAAAGCCTGCGAAACTGAACAGACGCCCGTGCAGAGAAATCTTTGCGACTCGCTGCGCTGAAGAAAACAGAATTCCATAATGGCAGACGAACCACACCCCCATCTCCTATATCAGAAGTGGGATCTCCACCACTGGAAGACAATTCGGAGAACAGCTGGCGCACGAGTTCAGGTTTGATTAAAACACGTATACTTGTCAGTTGCGACTTTCAGACTGATTTATTACTTTCAAATTGTCTTAAAAGAAACCTAAGCTCTGTCGCAGCAGAGCAACTAAAATTATTTGGAAATTTACAAGTTGTCGAATAAATCGGCCAGTTGCCATTCTTGCCGACGCAGCGGCTGGCTTGCATCCACCACGAGCATCCACCCGGTTCATGAGTAGCGGTGTCAGCTAGTAGTTGGTGTTGACGCTGCTGGTCAATGCTCCTGTAGCTGTGTCACCTTGTAGTTGGTGTTGACGCTGCTCGTCAATGCTGGTGTAGCGGTGTCAGCTTGTATTTGGTGTTGGCGTTGCTGATCGATGCTCCCGGAGTCCGGCCAGGGGTGGATTCATAGCTCACGCTTCTGGAATCGCAAAATAGAGTGATTACGGAACTTTTGAAAGCAGCAAAATCCACGCCGGTGCCTAGCACGCGCCCTGTCTCGGCAGTGTTACCAACGTTAAGCCCCGAAGCTGCTGACGCCGACGCAGCAGCACGGTCCAAAAAGGCTAGCATGATTCTATGTGAACATCCGCAAGAAGGTGCATCTTTGGTAATGACGCTCAGCAAATCGTTGCTTGGTAGTGCATCGCAGTGGCTATCACAAATGTGCTTCGCCGGAATGAGCTGGGCGCAATTCAAAGAATTGTTCATGGAGCGCTATGAAGGCAACGAGACGCCGGCGGCATTATTGCTAAACATGCTGAAGGGACGCCCAAGCCCCAATGAATGCCTCTCAGTGTACTCCAGCCGAATGGTTACATCTTTATTAACCAAGTGCAAAGCGATGACACACGAAGAAATTGCTATATCGTTGGTTCTGGCACATGATTCCAGACTGCAGCGCTCAGTGTTTACAACAAACATAAAGACAAGAGCAGAGCTACAACAACAACTCAAAGCGCATACGTTCGTCAGAAATTCTGAATTCTCTGGAATGGACATGGGCCCCGAGAAGTAGAGGTTTAAAATGCAATCGCCGATTAGATGACATAGTTGCGGAAAGCTGGGGCACAAAGCAATAGAATGTCGCAGGAGGAAAGCAGAAGAGAGGAACGAGACAAGAGCAGGCCATGGCAACGGCAGATCAACGATGATGAGAGAAAGATCAACTGTGACATGTTTTTAATACGGCAACGTTGGACCAGCAGCAGCGAGTAAAAGCAGCGAGAGAAGAGTGGACATGTGCGCTATTCTTCAGCCTAACGGAACTGCAATACAATTCGGTGAGAGGTTTCCATTTTTCTTTGATTCGGGTTCCGAATGCTCGTTTGTAAAAGAAACAACAGGCGAGAAGCTAGGCGGCAAAAGATGTCATAATTTGGTAGTTTTAAGAGGGATTGGCGACAATATTGTCAAGAGCACCATGCAAATTCTGTCTACCGTACAAATTTCAGAATTTAATTTCGAAATGTTCCACGTAGTAGATAATAAGTGTCTCAAATATGATATGATAATTGGACAAGAAATTTTTCAACTAGGCTTTGGAGTAATGTTAGAAAGTAATTAATTTGATATTTATAGAACTCAAACGGTATTATCGGTAATTGACGATAACACATTAAAAAAGATTGACTTTAAAAATAATGTTAATACAGATTAAATTGATAGTGATAAATCAAAGCTAAACGACATAATGACCAAATATTCCATGTTCTTCAGCTGGTATCCCAAGTAGGCGTGTAACTACGGGTTCATTGGAAATCCGTTTGCTGGATAGAAACAAAACGGTTAAAAGACGATCGTATCGTCTTAGCGAAAACGAGAAGCAGATAGTTAGGGACAAAGTTCAGCAAATGTAAGAAGCAAAGGTAATACGACCTAGCAGTTCTCCGTTCGCTAGCATCGATTATCGTGAACTAAACGCAAACACTGTGTCAGATAGGTACCCCTTACCATTACAGACCAGATTGATAGCCTGCGAGGTGGAAAATATTTTTCTAGCTTAGACATGGCCAGTGGCTTTTACCAGGTGCCTATTCACACCGATTCCGTTGAAAGAACTGCATTCGTGTCCCCGGAGGGTCAATACGAATTTCTAGCAATGCCGTTTGAACTGAAGAACGCCTCATCGGTCTTTCAGCGCGCCATAGTTCGAGCCTTGGGGGATTTAGTCAATACGTATGCAGGAGTCTATATCGATGATGTGCTATTTGTTTCGAATTCCACAGATGAAGTATTCGAGAGATTCGAGGCAGTGTTGTGTTATCAAAGTCGGGGTTTTCTTTCAATGTAAGGATATGTCAGTTTCTGCACACAGAGATAGAATACTTAGGTTTTCTAATCAAGGACGGTGAACTAAAACCCAACCATCGAAAAATCCAAGCACTAACTCAAATACCTAAACCAGCTTCAGTCACGCAGATTAGACAGTTTATAAGATTATCATCCTATTTCAAGCAATTCGTACCTAGATTTTCAGAAGTAATGAAGCCCCTATATCAATTAACTTCAAAGTCAAATGCATTCGAGTGGAAAGAGCAGCATGAGGAAATTCGCCAAAAAATCATTAAGGTGCTAACTAGTGACCCTGTGTTGATTATATTCGATCCCAAGTTTCCAGTCGAATTGCACACGGATGCAAGCGCTAATGGGTAAAACGCTATGTTAATACTCAAGGTGGATGGCAAGCGTAGGGTAGTCGAATACTACAATACTAAATGCACCACATTGGCAGAATCCAAATACCACTCATACGAGCTCGAAACATTGGCGGTGTAAAATGCTATTAAACACTTCCGGCATTACCTAAGCGGTAGAAAATGAGCCAAATGGCTCATCTTGATTGCTTATCAAGAAATTCCATCGAAGTTGTTGCGCAGGCAACTGCAAGCAAAGTTGTGGAAGTACGAATTGACTTGGCAACTATCACTCACAACTGGCTTGTATCTGAACAGCAGCGTGATCAAAATATATCCAGAATTATGACCGAATTGAATAGTGATGAAATGCAGAAAGAGCTAGCGAACACCTACGAAATTAGAAAAAGTTTGTTGCATCGCAATGTTCAAAGAAATGGCAAGACTCTATGTTTGCCCGTTGTCCCGAGGGCGTTCAGATGGTCTGTTATTAACTACATTCACGAAGCTATAATGCATTTAGTCTGGCAAAAAAAACTCTAGATAAGGTCTACGAGCAGTACTGGTTTGAGAACATGTCGAAATATGTTAGAAAGTTTGTTGAAAATTGCGTGACGTGTAAATTGTGACGTGTAAATCAGCGTCAGGTAAAACACAATTCGAATTGCACCTCATACCCAAAGTCGAGATACCGTGGCATACTTTATATATCGACATAAGTGGTAAATTAAGTGGAAAAAAGGATGAGAATCGACGCATTCACAAAGTTTGTCTACTTGTACCATACATGGAATGTAGATACTGCAAGTTGCATACAGTCTGTGATTTCCGCGATATCGATATTTGGTGTTCCCAACAGGATTATAGCTGATCAGGGAAGATGCTTCAGAAGTAGCGAGTATCGTAAGTTTTGTTCCGCGAATAAAATAGATTTACATGTGATAGCGACAGGTGCAAGCAGAGCAAATGGGCAGGTAGAGCGGGTGATGAGTGTGCTTAAAGGCATGTTAACGGCGGTGGAGACTAGCGAGCGTTCGTGGCAGGAGGCGTTAGGCGAAATTCAATTAGCAATAAATTGCACCACAAACCGAGTGAGTTAACATAGTGCTCTAGAAATGTTGATAGGGAAAGAGGCGAGGCCAATGGGAATGTTGACCATCAATGAAGACATGCGAATTGATCTCGAGAAAGCTAGAGAAAATGCTAAGAACAACATTGATAAGAATGCAATGTATGAGAAAGAAAGAGTTAATAATAAGCATGCCCAAGTTGTAAAACACAAGGTTGGCGATCATGTTTTATTGAAAAGTGAAGAGCGACACCAAACTTAATTAGATCCAAAATTTAAAGGACCATTTGTTATTGTAGAATTGCTTGATGGTGATCGATATTTGTTGAAGTCATTAACTACAAAGCGGGTGTATAAGTATCCACATGATAGTGTACGCAGTCTACCTGATGAGCGGGAGCCTATTGAGTTGATTGAAGAGTTTGACGATGGCGAGGGAGACAAACCAATAAGACCTAAGAGAGGCACAGCTGGAATCACATACAAAGACTAAGTTTAAGTTTTGGTTATGGTCAGACTGTGGTGTGAGAAAATTAGTATCCAAATGGTTGAGTTTATGCAGAAGAGAGCGGTGTACTCTAATTTTAATGTGCCTGCTGAACTAACATTTGATGATTTGAGAATTAGTAGCAAGACGATTGAGCTTGAGCAGAAGAGGAGAGCTTGTACTTTTAATGTCATGTAAAAGGTTATCCTGCTAAGCTAATGTCTGATGGAATGTAAAGTTGATATCCAAATTGTTGAGTTTGTGCGGAAGAGAGATTTTACTCTAAGAGAAATTGTGAAAGGTATCCCGCCAAACTAACATTTGAAGACACGAAAAGTGTAAGAAAATGTGTGTTAAAATTTGAGATAAGTATCATAGGAAAAGAAGTCAAGTGATGTACTAGAAATTAATGAGAAATAAAGTTTAATGCCAATCTTAAGTGAAACTAAGTAACACGAGGTCGTGTTAAAGTCAGGAAGGCCGTGTCGGAGATAAATTTGAAATGTAGCGAAGTAAGTCTCTGAGTGTATTGAATAAACGAAGTTAAAACGAAATAAGGAAGAGAGAAACTTTTGAATGAGAGCGCGGTGGGGAAGCAGAGCGAAAACTCTGCTGAGCGTGGCGCAATGAGAGGTAGAGAATAATGAGCGAAAGGAAGGCAGTTCAAGAAAGCCTGCGAAATTGAACAGACGCCCGTGCTGAAAAATCATTGCGATCGCTGCGCTGAAGAAAACAGAATTCCATAATGGCAGACGAACCAGACCCCCATCTCCTATAAATATTTAATTTTTGAAAAAGCTGCAAGGGTATATGAGCTTCGGCTTGCCGAAGTTTAATTTCTTTCTTGTTTAAATATCGAGTTAGTTTTGAAGATTGGTATATTTTAACAACAATTTCAAATTAAAAAAAAAAATTCGAAAAAAAAACGAAACAAAAATATATTTAATGCAACCTTAATTACCTGATTGTTATGAGTCCAATGCACTGAGGTGGGTGGGTCAGGCAGATGTTTGATCACGCAAGTTAAATTAACCGTTGACCCCAAATCGATGTAAATCTCTGGGCCTCCAGGAATACTTGTGATAGGCTCTATGAAATAAATATACAATATAAATCATTTGTAAAGCTCACAGAGTTGTTTCCGGAATTCAGTTTTTTTTTCTAGATTCTTGACGGAGGAAAGTAAAAAGAATGAAATTCCTGCCATTTATGTAAAATAAGTATCTTGAATGTCACAAGTATGTCAATTGTGCCACCAAGCTTTCATACCCCTGCAGAGGGTTTTATTATTTCAGTTGAAATATTACAAAGCAGTGAAGGAGAAATTTCCGGCCATATAAAATCTAACTCTTTATGATCGGCAACGCGGGGATCGATATATCTACATCCGTCTGTCCGTCCTTCAGTCCGTCAGTACATCTGACCATTTGTCCCTCCGACCCTCTGTCCGTCCGTGTCTTGGAAAAATTGGTAAAAAAAAAGAAAAAAATATGCCAAACGAATATTATTGGAGATATAAACATGGCTTAGAAATGTTATATATATGAAAATCGAACAAAGAGGTCAACTTGAATTAGGTTATAAGTTAAGACAGTTCCAAGTATTGTTCTACGGTTAAGGATTCATAGTTACTAAAGTAAGACAAAAGACACAGTGTTACGTCGGTGTGTTAGTGCCCAGTCCAAGGGACTTGGGCCGAGGAAGTTGCGTCCTGGGTAAACACGCTGGGTGCCGGCTCACCCCGGTTGGGGTGGGTTCTTTGGAAACCACTCCCTCCCCTACATAACGAGAATAAATTTATCGTGCCTTAGGAAAAAGATAGAGATCGTTCAGTTCGTTTTGTCATTTGTCGTCGCTGCCCACAAGCTTTTCAAGTAGCTAGTTCGAGCACTTGAGCGAATTTCGATCGGCAGCTTGTGGCCATATGCCGATGGATCACCGCCGGCCACTGCAATGCGATCCCCTATTGTCAATGTCGTCAGTCGAAAGTTACGTCATTGTTCTGGACCCTAGTTTTCCATTTGCGCCAGCTCCCCCTCTCGCGACGGTTGACGGAAGCACTCCTAGCTGAGGTTTCTTCTGGTGGTTCCAATTACAAATAAAACCTTTGGTCTTTTGCTTGCATTTAATTGTTTTTTTATTATTGATGGGTGTTGTTGATTGTTTTGCCGAAATTGAAATAATAATACTGAAGTAATTGTTATTTTTGCACGGGTTGAGATGTTAGTGCTGGCTCCTTTCTGGCCAATTGGCGGTGGCAGCTATGATTTTCTCCAGCTCGTGTCTGTGGTCCCGACGACTCTGCACAGATCGCTTGTACATCCGGAGAAAGTTCAGAATCAACATAAGCATCAAGAGTCCAGTAAGAAGGCACAAAACATTGTAGACTTTGGTTATGTCCTCCTCGAGGTCTACAATTTCGACGTTGCTCACCACGTTTGCCGTGTTTTCGGATGCCTTCGAGGTTGTAAATCCCACGAGATATAAGATATTTTTCTATCGGGTTCTAAATTCGATCACTCGGATAGGTCCTCCGCGATTACTGTTTTTGCCAGTAGAGGACTTAACGCGGTTCCGCGGTCGTTTCTGTCTCGACTTCCTATTCTCAATTATCTTGGACTATGACTGCCCGATTCGCAATTATCTTGGACTGTGACTGCCCGATTCGCATTTATCTTGGACTGTGCCTCTTCGAACCTAAGTTGGGGGCTCTTTTATACCGGTGGTATTGCTTCCGGGTCATCTAAGTGTTCCCACTTAGGTACAGCGTTTCCCCTTTTTCTGGCTTAATGGCCCACTTCTGGATTCTGCTAGGTTTAATATTAATTGCTGCGTACGCCTATTGCCTGCTGTATGTTCTTATGAATTGCTTACTCTGACCAATTCGTTGCTGGTTACTGTATTGGCCAATTTCGGTGTTTCGCCACCTGCACTTCACAGTGTCTTCTGTCTCTGGTTATTGTATCGATTTCTTTCTTGTTTTATTTCTTACCCCGCTCCCGTAACACGCTCGAGGGTCATCGATGCTGATTCAGCATAGAATGCACTCGCAAAAAAAACCTACAAGGAGCGATTGTAATAAGGTTGTTATTGCCCTTACGTGTGGCCTCGACCCATACCCTGGGACTTAGGAGTCTCACGCTCTATTGTCTGAGATTTCCAGACTATTGTTATCATTAATTTGCCCTCAACAGAAATAGAAAAAGGCAGGTGACAAATTTAAATATAAATTTTTTTTTGTTTTTATTAATTTGATAAGATATGAATTTTTTTTGGTTGCTCAGGCAAAACGTTCCTTCTTCGCTGAGTAGTACAATTGCACTGATCGAAAAGGTCTTTGGCATGATATACTCCAATACTTTTTTCAACCAAATTTCCTAATTCGTACAGCGACCCTCCCTTGCGTGCAAGTATGAGACACCGTACCCGATTGGACCCTAGCTTTGCATTATACCCTTCCATTCGGTTAATCTGCTTGTAGTTTTTTCGAACTGAACTACTGCAAATTCAATTTCCTTACTGCGGGTATTATACGTTCTTTCAGCTTTTTCGTGTGCCCGAGCTAATTCTTGCTTAACTACACTGCGTACTAGTTCCATCTTATCCGTCAAGCATAGAGCTTGATCTGTTGCTGATAGGCCGCCGATACGTCTCATGATCGGATACGCACTTGCGTGGGTGACCATGTTGGTCCCAAACATCGCATAATATGGTTCTAGTCCCAAAGCTTCGTGATAGCCACTGCGTAGTGTACACGCAATTCGATTCAGGTGTGTGTCCCAATGCCGCTGGTCTTTGTCTGTAGTTGACCTGAGCACTTGTAGCACGGATCGGTTTACTCGTTCTGCTGCATTCGCTTGTGGATTCCATATTGGCTGACTAATTCGGCAAATGTTGACGACATAAATAGCTTACTGTTATCGAAGTGAATGTATTCTGGCACTCCGAATTGCTGAAAAATGTTTCTTTCGAGAAAGATTACTACGGCTGTTGTGGTTGCTTTTCGCATTGCCTCTAGCCAAAAGAACTTGGTGAAATGGTCCAGACACACAAAGATCACGGTGTGTCCGGATTTGGTCCGGGTGGAGGATTGGCCAAGTGGTAGCTGTGCACGCCGGCAACGATAGCAAGGTTCGCGTGGCGGATGTCAGGACGCAGGACGGGGAATATCGGCGAGCTGTCCACCGACTGGCCCTGTTGCCCGTTCTGGACTGAAGGACGTCGTCCCTTCAGAGGGGGCGGTGTTTGTGCACTTGGCGCTGGTATTTAAATCACTAGTTGTAGGGCGAGAGCGGGAGCCAATAAAGCTTTCGTCCGTTCGCTCTTGCGAACTCGCCCCGTCTCTCGCCACCGTAGCATAAGTTAGGTTCTAAGAGAAATTATTGAAATATAAGAGTCAGTGATCAATCGAACGTCATCGTAACCACTCCTTTTCGTCGTGTTCGAAACAGTTTTCACAAATTCGCAATTTAACATCGTCGAACTACTGCAGTCACAAGTTTTCGCGTCGTTAATACAAAACAGTATTAAATTTTCAGTGGCGGTTATAAATTTTTAAATATAATTCCAGTTTGTATTCAACCCCAGAATTTTGGTAATCCGAAGTTGTTTAAAAGGCTAGAAAATCTACAAAGAAAATGTACAAATTAATTTTTTGGTGCCAGGGTAAATAAACCCTCAGCAGCCCATCCGGCTATATATATAAGGTCATTCTACCTCTCGGAGAGATCCTCTTACAGTTTATGTTACTTAACATAGGTTTAACATAAGTATCGTATATTAGTGTTGTATAATTATTTGTATTGTGTAAGTATCGGTATAATAATATATGTGTGTTAGTGTGTGTATGAGCCTACTACAATTCGGCCATCCTGTAATACGGATCCTCTGATTCTGCTTTCTTTTGGAAACAATTTTGACAAATTACTCTTATATCTATCTTATACTAAGACACTGTTTAGTTACATGTATTTTCTTCATTTATTTTTTCGTTTTTCTATCCAGGGTCTTATGTTTTGAGCACTCCATACACCCCTGTATGGATTTCGAGACACTTGAAAACCTTCAACATCCTTTAGTAGGAACCTGTCATTGCGAAGCACTTTAGCAATTGTATATGGGCCTTTGTTTTTTGGGATCAACCTCCTAGCAACTCCCGCAGTGTTGTCAAAATTTTTTACCATTACGTTATCTCCTTTCCTGTCATCCTTTGGCGTTTTCTTTGTCTTATCATAATATGTTTCATTGTATTTCTGTTTCTCCATTGTTTATGTTTCTCCATTGCCAGTTTTCGAATCTCGTCCAAATTCTCTGTGTTGTTAATTTCTTCTAACTTATCCCCAAGTTCATCAATAATCTGACCTCTCTGCTCTACACCAAAAAGCATTTTGCTAGGAATTTGTCGTATACTACTGTGTACAGTGTTATTAAGTGCATGTTCAACTTGCTCGATTACATTATCCCAATGTACATTATTTTCAGGCTCCGTTAATTTGGCTATCATGGGCCCTATGCTCCTGTTTATGCGTTCCACTTATCCATTTGCTTGTGGATAACCTGTCGCTATTTTCAAATGTTTGATGTTTTTTTCTGTTAAAAATTCATTAAATTCATTAGATGTAAAACAACTGCCTCTATCTGAAACTATACATTTTGGTTTGCTATACGCCCTAAAATATTCGAATAAAGCTTTTATTACTTCTTTTGTGCTGGTTGTCTTTGTTGTATAAAGTCTAACGAATTTTGTAAAATCATCTATGATTAGGAAAATGTGATTGTTTGAGTTGATTTCTTTCTAATTCTTCCTTTATTTTCTGTATCTTTTCTGTTTCTGTATCTTTTCTGTATCTTTATATTGATATCTTTTAAATTAACAGATTAAAAGATTGTCTTCAAAACTAGTGGTTTCTATGGTTTGAAATATAATATCTGCTCAGAGCATCTACGTGTTGCATTTTTGTTCCGGATCTATGAATCAGTTCATAATCATAATTCTGCTTTTCAAGTACCCATCGGGCGATTCTAGGATTTAGTTCGACTCTGTTTAATATCAGAGTTAAGGAATTGCAGTGTGTTATTATCTTTTAATG